TCGAGCACACAGAGGTATACAGTATACACACAGCCTCACATATAAACACTCTCAGGTATTCAATTCAGAGCTCATTATAGCCTATGGGGTTTAATATTATGGTTACAATTTGGTACAATAGATTACAGTGTGATTATGAGGTATTTATGGACACAAAGACACATAATTAGCACCTCAAGCACAGCCCTAAGGTGTGATCAGGATAAGATGTTAACTACAGCTGTGATCGCTGTAGAAATACACAGTAGTGTAGAATTCAGATCCCTATATGATTATGTAAATAGTGAGAGCTTTTTTCAATCAAACAATAACAACAGACAGACTTTGATGAGGTTGTAAAGTATCTTTAGCCACACCATTGTTTTTCACATGAGAGTGTTATTAGTGTTTTATCTGTGTTCTTTGGTCAGGTTTGAAGTCAACAGGCCACTGATTGAAAAAGATGATGTCATGTTTTCATGGACAATGTCACAAAGGAGATGCCACTGTCTATAAAATCAGATCAAGACATACCACACACTTATGAGGAGATAGATAACTCAGGTTTTATATAATGTTGGATGTTTTTTAAACTTCTGGGGCTGCAACTTATGATCTTTTACATTATTGATTAATTACAGTTTCCAATGATATATTTATAGTTCAGTAGAACAAATATCTAAGACTAAAAACTGATGCCTTCAAGTGTCTTGTTTTGTCATTAGATTATTTATTTTTTTGACTAATTATTAACGTTTCATAGGCTGGTGGTCTTTTACTTAAAAAAATGTCTTCAACAGTAAATCCACCATCAACATTGGCCTTGTTACCGATTAATTATCTGATGATCGACAAAATCGTTTTAGCTCTAGGCAATAACTTCATCTCTAAGTGTTGCTTTATCATGAATATTGATATAGATTAATATTTAAATCAGGGTTTCAGGCACTCTGATAGAAGAAGTAAAAGCACATTGTAGCTCACATCATTCAATCGAGCTAACTAACAGGTTGCCATCACTAGCATGCGATCGGCCAGGCTAACTAAACACACGTCTTCCACGGCTAACACAGATTAGCATGCAACACAACTTCAGCCAGTCACATTTTGCTAGCACTTGGCACCATGTAACTTAAAGGGGACTGCTGCGTGTTCTTGCTGCACTGGACCGCAAATGTAAGTGATAAAAATATCAACTTACTTGATTTTTGGAAGTGAGTGACTGCATATCTCAGCTGAGCTGCAAACTACAGTTACCCCGGGCCCTTCTCTGCGTAGCCTACTGTAGGTCTGTAGAGATGTGTAGTTGTATATTTAAAGAAGCCTCTTTAGTTGCCTCATAGAAGCAGCACTGAAAATAAGTCTCTTCAAAAAATACCCAGCTTGTTAATTAGCATTCATTGTGATTTAGGCCTTAATGAGGAAACACATATTATGCTAGAACTTCAATTTGACTTCTGTGCTATTGCATCAAATGTCATAAGTAGGTGCAATGTCAGACCTAATGATCAATGGTGCATATATGTAAAAGGCAGATCAATCAAGATGGTTGTCCATTCTGTTGATAAATGTATTCTCCAAAGATGCTATTTGTTATGGTAACATTTGTATCTGCATAGTAACTACTGTAGTTACAAGAGTTATGCGAGAAATGTAATATGGATTGAGAAAGTACAATAAGTAAAGTATAAATTCCTGTAATCTGTAACCACCAAATCCGTAAAGAGCCTCGAACCTCGTGCGACAATACATTTTATTACACAGGGCGTTGCCCGTACATTTATGACTGGTCAAGACTAGATGAAGAGATACCGCAGTTTAGACTTGGTTCTCTTTGGTTGGTGCACAGACTCAGATAGAGTCTCTTGGCAACACAACCTTCCAATCAGCATTCGGCCGGCTGGCGAAGTTCCTCCCTACTCTGTCTCTATCATACGTAATTTGTTTTCTCTAACGTTTCTTCAGATATAGTGGAAAACCATAATGTTGCTTCCTAGCTTTGCGGGGGAGCGCGGCTCCCATACAAAGTCAAGGCCGGTGCGATGTGCTGTTCTGACTACCTCTTTGTATTCACTCAGTCTCTGCACCTGACCTTGCTACTTTCAATATTGCAAGCTAAACACTTTCTCATGTGACTTTTCCCTTCGTTCCTGTCCTCCCCCATCAAAACTGGGGGGGGGGGGGGGTGATTGAGTCTATTTATTCCAAAGTCACAGCCACATAAATGAGCACAATAAGCTTATCATGTAATAATAAGAATCAGTCTTTCTAATGTTATATAAAAATAGCCTCCACAAGTGGAAACTGTGTTTTCTCATATACTCATATTGCTGATGTTCAACAGAGTTTGGCAGTGAGGCTGCAGCAGAGTGATTTCAGAAGTCTTTACTTTCCGCAGGCTAAAGAGGCCACATGGTGAGGAGAGCTTGCTCTTATCAGACTGGATTAGCCCACAAGAGGGAAGAAAGTTATAAAGAGGAAGCGAGAGAGAGGAAGGTGGCTCTGAGTGTGAGTCAGGGTTTCATTCTTCTCCGGTGCTGGAGCCTACAAGCCGCTGGGCAGGAAATGAGGCGGAGGACACCCACTGACCTGCAGCCAATTGCTGCCTCTCCGCCTATCACAGAAACAATTTAACCAGCTAATGGAACTAGGCTGATCGTCTTTCCATTTCTGCAGGGGCACTGTGACTCATACGGCTCATTTCTGATTAGAGCTCCTCAGGATTAAAAGTAATCTGCACCAGACAGGGGATAGACCAGGCAGTGGTGATGTTATTGAACATATCTATCAGGCGGATATGTGTGCCCACAGTTTGTTAATGTATGATCCCAGAGAGGGATTTAAAAACAGGAAAGCCAGTGTGGGTCTGTGCAGGAGGAAGGGACCAGGCAGAGGGGTTAGTCTGCAGGTGGAGGTGGGGTCCATTGTGGGGTGGCTGGGAGGCATGTGGGGGTGCTGCCTCAACATGTTTATGACACAATGTGAACAGGATGCTGGGAGGAAGAGAGCAGCGGGCAGTGGGACAGCACCAGAGACCCCCACCATCATCTGTGTTGGTTGAGCACCAATGGAGCGGAGCGTTAACTAAAAACACACATTGATAGAGAGACAAATACTTACAGAGGCAACATCCTGGCAAACATACATCTCATTTGAATGCATGAGCTCTACGTGGTGTATATTGCATGCATGCTCCATATTGAGAAAATACAATACTTGTTTTAGCTGCCCATCACACATTCTCAGGAGACATGTTTTTCAAATCAGCATATTGTTTTCACTCTGGGGTCACTTGGTGAACACGTGGACTTAACATCTTCCATTATTCATCTTCTTATTTCATTCGGTCTCAGAGGGATCATCATCCGTCCCACACTTCCTCTGCGCTGCACCCACTGACTGACAATCATGTGGAAAAAACAGATGAAGCCTTCCTTCCTCGTTGTGTCTGGAATGGACGGTGTGTGTGTGAGTGAGTGTGTGTGTGTGCTGTGTGATGACCCCAACAGCAGCAGCACACTATCCTGCCTGTTATAAGGCCCACTTAGTTTTCCACAGCCTGCATACAAAGATATCATGTGCATTATCAATATAGCTGCCAATTTATTTTCTGTCAATGGAACAATCGCTGCTGCTATAATTGATACAAAAAAACCCAAGTCACAATTTCACAGAGCCCAGGGTAATTGTACCCTAACATGCCACAGACAAAAACTAATAAAGCCTTATTTTCAAGGAGCTGGAAGAAGCAAATAGTCAACATATTTACTTGGTAAATTCCTAAATGATCTATTGAATATCTAATGGTGAAACAATAATGCAGGAAGACAATAGTTACCTCATGGAGAAACAGAAAGATATTAGCTATATTGAACATAAACTATATAACTGGACATTTAACCATGCTTTTACCATCATATCTCCTCTTAATAACAATATTATTTACAATAATTTACTGTAACCTTCTTGCAGCCATTTCATTCTTTCATATTGTAAGTGTGCCTTAATTTTGGCGTGACCTTTATATCAACAGGATGTCCTCTGTTTGCTGTTTACTTAAACCTTGTGTTTTTTCATGTTATCTATTAGCCTGATACAAATCCTTTTTTAGTTCAAAACATTTTGAAAAATGTAACTACATTTTTTTTACTCGAATCCACTTCCTTTTTAAATGAAAGTGTGATGTTTGGTTCTTGCAGCACTCGGCATTGACAAAGCTCCTTGATGAAATGTGGCTCTGTAACTTGAAAAGAGTCCAGAGAGAACACTGTATTCATTATACTGAGGTTAAGAGTATTACAGAACATTGGATTGGAGCAGCCAGGTCGGTGCCATGTTTTTTTGCTTCAAAAACAGTGCTCGTGAGTCAGTGGTGAGGTATTAGTTTCTGACATGACATCATGAGGCTCTCTTGCCTTGATAAGATTCATTGCACTTAAATCATAAGGGAGGAGCTCTTTTTGTAAAAATCCTGTTATTGTGAGGAAATTAATAGATGTGGAGCCTTTTGTTCTGTTCAGCCACAGGGTAGTCAACTAACTTAGCAAGAAAAATACAACAAGATTAAATTAAAAATAAATAAATTAGCTGTGAGGTATAGCAACATGATAGATGGTCAAATATGGAGTTACTTTAAAAACCTGTTTGAAGGTTATTATAACACCTGCAGCTTCTACAAATCAACCATTTAAAACATAATCAATTCATCGATGAATAATCTTTCTTTTTACACTTCAACACCATAACATACTGTATTCATTTTGCTCATCATGTCCAAGTGCATTTCTGACTGAATCTGCAACACTGTGAATATATACTGCCATCTACTGGATGGACTATGTACGACACCTGACAAATGACCAAGGAAAAGATACATTAGTAACCTGCTTGACAAAATCAGTCTTCATATCAAGTTTTGCTGCATTTTGAGACACACAAAATGAAAGAAATAATCAATGGATTCTAGTCGGTTCAGATTTATTAATAATAAGTCTCAATAATAAAAAGAAACATTTTTTTTAACATGGCTTACTGTATTTCTTCTACTAAACAAAACAATTCATGTTTGTAAAAGTGTAAAAATATTTTAAACACAAACAAAAAAGCCTTCATAGATAAATTAACGTTTTAATTGGGCAGGTCATAAAAAATAACTGACAGTAATTCTGACGGATACAATTCTTTTTTAGTTTTTTTTAAATGACACTTTTTGCCCCTCTTGTACACACTGATGAACATGATTTGAAATAACTGGATAAAAGTGCAATCTATCCACTACATTAACCATGAATTCAGCAATAATAGTGATTTGAAATTAAGAGGAATAACTGAGATATGGAATCAGGATACTTAAAGCAGCATTATTGTAGAAATATGTTTTAGCAAAGATAGCACGAGTTGATTAACATGTTCTGGTCATAGCTGCCTCTGTAACATGCAATCACTGCAAGTTTTCTATTGTTTTAGTTCTGCTCTTGTTACGATAATATAAAAACAGGCCAAACGAAAACAGCAAATCATCCAGGGAAAGCAAAATACTTTCTGGTCGCTGTGTTCTTTTGTTACTACTATGATGTTAAAAATATGTTTTTTTTATAAATGACAGCAGGTATGAGGAGCTTAAAAAAGATGTTCAGGGCAGGCGATATGACAGGATGTCTGTTCACTAACTCATGATATGTTAAAGTAATAAAAACATGGCTTTAAGAGTGATGACAGACTCACTCTAAGGGTTCCAATTTCTCTGATCTAGACCGAAATAGTGCTGACGGGCTGCTGTGGCCGCCACATTCTGTACATCATAAACAATAGAGAGGAAACCAAGAACAATAGGACTCTTAAAACAAGAGCATGTGGGTGACAACATTCCCATATAAACCGCTGACCAAGCACTGAAGTGCCATAATCCCTTAACAGTCATATATATACAGTTGTAAAAAAAACAGAGATGACATGAGAATATAAAATAAGAAATAAAAATACTCACTCAACACATCATACAAACACTTACTTCATGCGAAACTAGCCATTTTGGAAAGCTACTGGTTACCAGTCAGACACACCCGAGAGGAGGCCAGAGGCGTGATTTTGAGACGCTCACAGATGATGGATAGCAGGAGGGAGAAGGAGGCGGTGGCGCTGGATGTAAACGGAGGTTAATATCAGGGCTGATGAGAGAAACTGAAATCTCCACCACAGCAGCCCTGCCCTGGGCCTCTCCTCCACCCTCTGCACCAAAAATACCAACTGCATGATCACAAAGTGGCATTAATCCTTGAGAGCGTCGACCACGCATCCCCCCACACCCTCCGTCTCCCTCTCATCTCCATGCCCCACAGTCCCTCTGCTCACCAAGTGTCACTAAAGTGCTCTCTCTACTAACTATGTTAAGCGCTTCACTGAGGTCAGCGAAGAAAAACAAAAACAACACATAAATGAATATCTGCAATAGTATCAATTCTCAGGCTTCCACCAAAAAACCATCTCCTTAAAAAATACAAAATAATAAGACAACAATGATAACTTGTAGACTTCTGTCCAACAAATGTGTCAAATTGATTGAAAGGTGGATGTTTGTGTGCGTGTGTGTTTGTGGGACATATGGGGCGTGAGAAATTTGAACAGCTGTGAAGGCAGGAGAGGCTCAAGTGGTGGAGACAGCTGTCTTAATGTGTGTGTGTGTGTGTGTGTGTGTGTGTGTGTTCATAAGAAAGTGAGACAAGGAAAGAGAGAGAGAAAGAGTGAGAGTCCATGCATCTGCGTGTGAAGCTGGCTCCGACTTCAGATCAGTACTTCGGTACTTTGGTATAATCCTCCAGGACGACACTCTTGCACAGACACATGGACAGGATCATCCCGAGGAGCTGGAGAAAAAAGAAGTTGTCGACTTAGTTATCAGAGTTCAAACTGAACAATGGAGCCCTTATTTAAAAATAAAGACAAGAGTTGACAGTTTTCCATCCAAACCATTTAACTGAATTTCAGGCTAGCTCATATTTAACAGAACGACATCAGAGTGGTAAAATCCTCATATCTACTTCAACTCTTGGCAAGAAAACCAACACCTGGATTTCCAAAAACTGTATAACTCATTTAGCTTTTAAACAAATATTTTGTTTTTTGGATTGCCTATTATCTTTAACAATGTAGTTGCATCAGAGAGGGGTTGATTCACTGCCAGTATGAACAGGGGGGAGACTTATAGTGACACTTGTATAAAAGATAGAGTACACATGGCATTTGAGTATAGATATTAAGATAGTTTGAAAAATATCTGTTAGGGGAGACAAATGGATACCTCTATGACTGCCACACCGACACAGATACCCAGAATAACTCCACAGTTGTCAAGCAGCCATTTCTCCACGCTGACAGCACAGCCCTGAAGGAGAGAACAAGAGAGGGAGAGGTTTAGAAAGACATGGAAAGAGGGGGGTTTCAGGGCGATGAGTGGAGAAGAGATGAATGGCAACGTGATCCCAGCCGGACATGAACAGAGCCTTTTCAAAACACAACTGTTGTCTTTGGACTGGGTCAGTGAGTGGAAGAATAACACAGCCTAGCTGAGTGGAGGAAAGCGGTATGAACAGGGGGAGAAACGTTTTTGAAACACGCAGACCAAACAACAGAATAACAGAGCTTTCCTGGTGTTTCCACAACACAAATAACACGCCTCAGCTGTGGGTGTTCACTCTGCTAATTCAGTACGACCATAGTGACACACGGAGCCGGCAGCCGGAGCTACACAACACCAGTCACACCGACCTGTGTAATATGTAAAGGAGGATGGTCTATTAGAACGAGGCAGGCTTGCTTTAGCATTGCAGCTGAGTTTAGACTGTTAGAATTCACTTTGAAAATGTTTCCATTTATATGAACCAGAAAATGAGCATAATAGTGACCCTTTAAACTAACAAAACAAAGAAACACATTTAAAATAATCGTATGTTCGCCCTTTGTGGAGATATTGTGAATGAAAGCAAAACATACTAAATTAAGTAATATCTAACACGTCCGTATAGTGATTCTACATGATCAACCAACATTTAAACAATGCAAACACAGTAAAACTTTCAGCATGGTGAAGCAGACGGCAGGCTGGAGCTGCAGCTGCTCGACACAGCAGTTTCACACGCTGCCTGAGTGAGAGAGTCCTCTACTTCATGTGTCTTTCTTGTGTGTGTTTGTTTTTACATTTGATACTTGCGGTTTTTCAATAATATATTGTTGTAAATTGTTTAATGAATGGATTGTATTTTTTTCTTTTTCTTATCATATTGTATTATCCTTGACGCTTTGGCAATATTGTTCACCTGACATTCATGCCAATAAAGCATATTGAATTGAGTGACCCCAGACTTATGAACCGAGACGGCACAGTTGGAAAGATTTAATAACTGATCCCAGAGTTAGTCTACTCCATCACAACAATGTATTCACAAATACTGCCAGAGCAATTATTTCCTGACAGCGTTGATACTTGATACTGAACTGAGACGGGACAATTGGGAAAACAGCTGTTGGCTTCATCAGTAAATTCAAAATGAACCGTACCGTTTGATAGATGGGTGTTTCTGAGGACAGGTGCTCACACATCCCCACGTCCCTCATGTCGGTGCCAGGCAGGGACTCATTGCGACAGGAACATGGGTAGAGGTTCTGGGAGTTGTTCTTGATCAAAACGTTCTCAGACCAGTTGCCTGGACCAGTCCATCCACAGCACTTCATCTAGGGACAAAACAAATAGCAAACTAAAAAGATGAGAGACGGAAATGATTAGTTAAGTAAATTACATGAAAGCAAAACTAGAAATGGATTGGATCAGTAAAGGAAAATCTCTTTTATGGTGTTTGAGCCTAATCTGTTCTTGGCTGCTGTTTTCAGAAAGATTTGGGCCTTGGCAGGAAAGGGAGTGAGAGAAGGAGGAAGGAGATAGGGAAGAAAATGAATAAACTTCATCAGAGCGTAGAACAATCTGACCTCAGCTGACCTGTTTTTATTTGCCATGTACTGATTAGTTAAATGAGTCATTTTATCCCAAGTAAAAAGAAAATAAATACCCTTTAAGTGTTTGATTGAACAAATAGTTTCAGTTTTATGTGCTGAGATCCTGAGATATCCATTCCTAAATCTTACACTCCCAGCTCGAAACAATACAAAGCAAGTGAAAGGAATTTAGTTTGAAACCCACAGAGATCGCAGTAGAAAATAGTTGCTGTGAGGTCGGTGGGTTTCAAAGTGAGGGAAAAGACAATGTGTAGCTGTTGTTCTTGTTGTAGTTGTTACATGTATGTTTCCAAGGTTTTGAGCACTCTTAACTAAATTCAAATCACCTATAACATATTGTAGTGGAGAACCTTTTTTAAAAGGGTAATTCATAATTTGGTGCAAAGCGTGACACTGGCAGTGACATCTAAATACAATTCTGTACTAAAACTAATAATTGAACAACTTAAATAAAATAGGCAATGCATGGTTTGTTTGTAATTGGTTTTGTTTGTAAAGTATTGCACCAAAACATTGCTAACGTAGCTAACTAAGGCCATTTAAATGATGTGACCATGAGGCTAGCGGTGTGGTTTATCATGCAGACATGTTCCAGTGTAAAGGGACGTTTTCCTTTCATTTCCTTCCGTTATACCTACCTGCTGCTTTACATGGATCTATGAGGCATGTATTCTTATAACAGTCATTTGTATGGTCATTGGCTAAGGGGTATTGATGGTACAATCTGAACTGTACTACAATATATTTGTCTGGTGCATTTAGTTAATTTCTTCTATATTAAACGTTTAGGTGTTTCTTGTACAATCCAGGCTAGGAGTTAACTCACCGTCCTCTGAACGTAGTCCCAGGTGTGCTCTGTGGTCCTGTTCAGACCGGTATAGTTGTTTATCATGTCCTTTAGGATGTCGGCCATCTCATATTTCAACTGGAAATAAACAAGAACAAATACTGGTCACTTGTTTAAACTTGACACATTTATAGCTGTCGATGAATAGTTTGTGTGTGCATGCTTGTCAGAAGAGTAAACAGATTGTCCACATGGAAATCTATTTGGTGAATGGTAGAGAGACAGTGTTAAAGAAAAGAAAACAAACACACCCACACTGAATCTTCTTTCTAAAATGTACTAGCAACATCTGAACTTAATGTTTCTTAAGGGCTACACCTCGGGTGGTATTGCCCTGTGAAGTCCTGTGATGGGGTTAGTAGGCGCAGCTCCACTCTGTGTTTATGTGTGTAAGACCACAGAGGGGTGGCAGCGATGCATCTTCAGAGCTACAGGAGACGAGTGAGAGCCTCTCCCTATTCTGGGAAATGGCACCACCCTGTCCTGTGGTAAGCCTTAAACACAGGGAGCGCGTCTAAGGCTGCACACACAAACGCTGAGCGATACACACAAACACACATGGGTGCACATACTGTACATGAGGCTAAAAGCTGAAACTGCCTCTGCCCTCCCTGAGTCCTACAGGTGTGAGGCTTATCAAAGCAAAAGCTTTTTTGTCCTGGGAGAGAATGACCAGCTTCCGAGCATGAAACCAGTCAGAGAGGTTGAGTGTTCAAACACAACACTCCCTTCACACGCACAGTGCAAACACACTGCCTGTATTATTTAGGCTGGAGCTATTATTGATTTAATTCCTTATTTAACAGAACAGATTTCTGTGTAATGGTCACCCACATTTTATGGTGTATTTGGTAACTTAAAAGTGTTTTAAGGAACACATGTTTAATATTGTCGCCGTTGATGTGAAATCTCCCTTAGTTCCCGCTTTCAGATGATCTGTTTTGTTTTGCTTTAAAGATAATCCAGTGGGTTTTTAAATGACTTATTTATCTTAAGAAGTGGAACGTTAAGAACACTTCAGCCGTCTGTTTACATGAAAATTCAAAATCCTTTCATTTTTGAAAGACAACAGTGAACAGTGAGGTTATCGGGTTTGTCGTGACCCGTTTTCTATTTTCGCTTTTACTTAGTGTTAAACACAAAAGTTTGTCCTGGGATTATTATATATCTATCTGTTTATCAATGTCTGTTTACATTTTGATGGACTTTATTTTTTTCTAAATAGGCTCTCACTCAACTCAATTGATTCAACTCTGGTGAGTTGATCATCTCGCCTGTAGGCGGTTGCTGTTCCCTCAAAGACTTCAGTTGAAAGTGGTTTCTGGTGCTGGGGTGATAATTACTGTTTTAGATGAGGCAGTGTTAGACATACCAATCTTATATGTCATCATATGACAGCAGCTTTTGTCAACACACACACATTCACCATGAACGTGTTTATCTTCCCCATACAACAGAAGAAACAAAAACACCCAGCAGGGGAACCAAGAAAGACGACGATGGAAACAATATTCAGTGCAAAGGTCTGTTGATAAGTTCTCTATCATTGTCACACATGTGCTTCAGTCCAACTGATTTATCTCACTTTCCACCTACATCCAACTTCACATCAGTCACAAACTGACAACACGTGAATTTCCATTGGTTAGGGTACAACACTGTGTTCCATCAAAGGAAGCAGGGGGCGCACAAACAGGTTTGCCTCAGCCCATCCCAGCTGTGTAGGGTGAATACCGATGTGTCACCATGTGTTAGGAAGGGTATTGGGAGGGGGGAGGGCATGAGAAGTAGGTGTTAACGATCAGAATAGTATCAAATGAGGACAAGAGACTGAAATGGGGAAGAAATTAGGAAGACTAAAAGTGGATACTGTAAAGAGAAGGAGAAATTAGAAGTGAAATTGAGAATAGGGGGAAGCAAGTAAAGAGTCTTACCCGGTTCTCTTTGGAAGTAAATTACAACTCCAGCAGTGACCTGGGCGATGAGGATGAGCAGGAGGCAGGTGAAGTACTGAGGAGGATGAAGAAAAACCATAAGAACAACTTTGAAAACACTGACAATACTGCAAGATATCAGTTATGGAATACTCATAGAGAAAAAAACATTTTTTAAGCAGCTGTAACAGACTTTATGATTTGCCAATTTCATAAGATGTAATAATGAGAAAGGGGTAGCATGTAGTCTTGCACCTACAGACAATCATGGCCCTTCTGCTTCATAGAGCTTGAGAGGGAGTTTCAGCTCATCGGCCTTCACCTTTAAGCTTTAGGTTTAATCTCACTGCTCTTATTGTGTTGTTTTAGGCCAAAGCAGGCATCTGTTTTATTGACAAAGCCCCAAAAACCCATTGCACATAAGGAGTCCATTCCTGTGTTACGTTCATCAGGTGGCCAAAAACTCCAAATCGACAATACTGTTGCTGCGTAACTGCTGAATGTTTAAATAAGCAACTGTTGGCTAATACATTTCCCCCAATTTCACAGTCTTCGAGCCAAAAAAACCTGTCTTGTAGGTTTCAGTCTTACGTTATACTGGAAAATAAACAGGCAGTAAAGAAAGCTCCTGGGCAGATACCTTACATTTTAAAGTGTTGTTAATCCATGGAGCATCACTAATCTCTAAAGCCTTATTTATGAATAAAGCCATTAAATATCCTTTAACAGCTTCAAGTGTCTCCTGTAAAGGTGGTGTGTGTGTGTGTTGTGTGTGTGTGTGTGTGTGTGTGTGTGTGTGTGTGTGTGTGTGTGTGTGGTGTGTGTGTGTGTGTGTGTGTGTGTGTGTGTGTGTGTGTGTGTGTGTGTGTGTGTGTGTGTGTGTGTGTGTGTGTGATAGGGGGGTCTTTTGCCACGCTGGTCACTATCACTCGGAGAAATAGGTCACAGCAGTTCTTCAGTTAACCCCATGGAGGTTTAAACGCTGAAGAGTTCATGCACCCATCCCCACTCATGTTGTACCCCCTACATCTCACTGGCTTTATCCCTGTCACACACCCCCCCTCTGTAAATCCACACATGCTGCGAGCCCCCGGCCCACACATAGGCACAAGTGCGAAAGGGCTTTACTGTCAGCAGGAATCTGTCATGTGTTCTTAGCCAAGCCTGAGGTCTTAAGCAGGTGCATTTAGGTGAATCGTTTCCAAACTCTCTGCAGGATTAGAGGGCCACACACTACTGGGAGTTTTTTAAGTATTACTTTTGTGCATTTTATGGATTTATTTAGATACTTAATTTGGAGAAGAGATAACAGGATATGAGGGGAGACAGAGAGAGATGAGGAAGGACTCCCCTAGCCAGACTTATATAATTTAATATTAAAACCAATTTATTTTCTGTGTCAAAAACAGGACATTTAGTTCCTGTGTGGCAATGACTCATATGTTAGATTTTACATCATTTTTAAATTGCCTTATCTCGTAGTGGTGGGGGTGTTTACCCTGTTCCTGCTTCTAAAAAAGAAGACCAATCTGTAGCATGTTAGTATTGGAGCTTAAAGTGAATATCATTCCTCACCAAACCCAGCAGACAACGGATTTCGTAGATGGCTCCTATGCAGCCGAAGAAGCCCATGGCCATGGACAAGGAGCCGACAGCGATGAGGATGTAGGACGCCACTTTCACTGTGTGTGATGATCCTCTGAAGAAACAGGTGTGAACAGACAGGAGGAAGAGGTAAACTTACACAAAACCACTGAAAACGATATATGTGTGCTAAAAAACTGAACACCTGCACTACCACAGTTTTACAGTGAAGTGTGTAGTTATGTTCAGTTCAAACTTAGCACAAAACACAACCAGTTAGCAAAACAATGCACTACACATGTTGTTCCATGATAGAATAACTGCAGCAGACCTTTGCTCTTGTTTTTCTACTTTGGCCTGCACACAAATGCAGCTGAGAGGAAGGCATGCAAAACCATTTTGATGCTTACAGGAAGCCAACAAATGATTCACTGTGCAACCCTTCTTCTTCTCTCAAGAAGGTTTTTAGTTTTTCTCCCACAAAGATCATTTTAATAGGCCACCAGAGAGAGCTGGACCAATGTGCGGTGAGATTAATTGATTTCCCTCTTTGGTATGTAGAGCGGGAGGGCTTCAGGAGGAGGAGGGGGCACTACTGAAATGGAAGATTGGAGGGTTGGAGAGCAGATAAACTGGAGCCATTATGTGGCTGTGTGTTATCTCCGCTTGAGGAGCTCCAGAGAGTCAGAGCGTCTGCAGATGAAGCCAGAATCGGAGCTCTGTGAAATGGCTCCAGCTCCAAAAGATTACTGGGCCAAGCACAGCAGTCAGAGCTATCAGATAACTCAGCCCCATCTATTTAGTGAAGAAGCTGACAGACGCAATGACTGTTATGCAATGATGCTTCCCTTATCATCACATTGGCTGCTGATGCTACAGCAGCAATCATCATGTACAGTATGGCATATGTACAATGAATATGTACAAAGACTGGGAACACAACTTGTCTTTCCAAGTTCAACTCTACTGTCTGAAACTTACTGTAAATGAACCAAAAGAAAGTCCTGCTTCATGCTCAGGCACCACCTTACTTTGCAGACATGCTCAGTATTTATACTCCATCACGTACACTCATTATCACAGGATGCAAGCTGTTATTCTTCCAAAGATAAATAAGCAATCTGTAGGGCGGCAGTTCATTTGAAAGCTTTACACTTGAAAGCAGACATAAATAAATGAAAACTGAAAACCGTATTTTATTCTCTGAAACATCTATAGGTGAATATATATTTGCTGCCTTTAGCAGCTCCCCTCATTACCGGATATGTGTTATTCCATAGGTATTTTCTTTTGTATTATGCATTATGTACATCAATTTTGACAGCTTTAATTGAAGCAAGGACAATACAAGTATATTTAAATAAACTCTGTCAAAAGGACACCCACTTATGTTAGCAAGAGTTGAAACTATTTCAATCAGTCCACAGAAAGAGAATTTCATCAAAAACAACCCTCTACTTCCAACTTCTGTAAGTGACGACAATGGATTCTGTTTCATATCCCTGTATACTGGAAATCAGCTGTTTTTGGACTTTAGGTTGGACCAAAATAGGACATCTGAGAAGTCATCTTGGACTTAATTATGATTCTGTTATTATAAATGGTTGGTTGCATATGTTGTACATAGATGGTGTAGTGTACTGAGACACTTTAAATAAACATGCTAATTTAAAATTCAGACAAAATATAGATACCGGTACAAAGACGTTATTACATGCATTTACGTCGCTGACATATGTTAACGGAGCAAACACATGTTGTGGCGGTATACGAGAATAATTGAAAGCTAGAAGAACGTCGGTGAAATACGCAGAGAGTGTATGTGGCTACAGGGTAGCATTTTAAAGGGAGGCAGACAAGCACAGAGTATGTTCTATATCCAGCACTATGTTGAAGCATGTTATTTTAATCTTTCTCATCAAAACATACACACACACACACAAAACACAAGCACACATGCGAGCCAACACGCAAGCACCACACACAGGCTCAATATCTACAGCAGAGATAGAATAGAGGAAGTATTGATGTTCAGTGCTATACTGAGACTGCATCATATGAAGAATAATTTATTCTGCTAGATACTACTTCATGTCTTTATTTATAGTTATTAGTTTCAGTATGTGAGGCAGAACTGTTTCACTGCACTAAAGGCAAATTAAACATTATAGAGATGTCACCAGTGGAACTTCATTATATATTTTCACAAGTAGATCACAAGTTATTTAATAAGGGTGATGAACAGTTTGAACTATAAGTGAGAAAGATGTTTTTTGTGTGGTTTCCCTGCCAGCCACATGATTAACAAACACTTTAGTAAAAACATACTCCCTGGAGAAGGAGGAAACGTTGTTCAATTCTAATGCAGTCTCAAACAGTTCTCAGCTGTGACTACTTTCAGTAGACTTTCTTGGCATGTTATGGCAATACATCTAATCTGTGGACCATCTCCTCCCACATCATGTAGAATCAGTAGCTACCGGCTGGCCATGTTAAAAGGCGAGAGCTGTCACATAGCCAGGGTGTGAAAACATGATGAACAGACATGTTTACACCTCATAGAATATGTAACAGACATGATACAAAATATATATTATTTACTCTAACTCAACCCTTTCTGTTTCAATTTTAAAAAGCCCTGTAGTGTTTCTCTGTAGACAGAATGTTCCTATTTCGTATTACATGGCTATTATTCTTGAATATGGACAGGGCAGTTTTTGTGGAAAAGGCAAACTTGCCACAGCTGCAGCTTTATTTTATAACACTCTAAAAGTATTTTAAAAATTAAAAACATGTTTCCTGTTAGACCCTCTGTCAAGTACATCAGAGTTGAAGAGCAACAGAGGGTGTACTTTACAACCTTCCTGCTGTGCATCTGTGTTCTGTAGTTAGTACACATGCACTTTTCTGAAGTCAGCATGTATTCCCCTGGTTACTGTACTCTTCTGCCGTTTACCATGGCACATTTCCATGTAGGTTGCTGCTAGTTATTCTGAAATAGTTCCTCACGTGGTTTCCACAGAACTTTCCATTTAAAGAAGAAAGAACGATGGTGCCCTTTAAGAAAGCTGCTAAGGGAGGAAGCGGAGGAGGAGGGACCTGTTTGGTATTGCAGGTCCTTCTGTTAAACATGACCAGAGCCACACATTCAATTTGTATAAGCTGAAAAAAGGTAACGGTTTGACATTTTGCACAGATTAAAAAATGTAAACATCAGCAGACCAGCTTGTGCATAATTTCTAGAGTTTTAAGTGTCCCAAATAAAGATACTTTTTACAACCAGGTTCTTTGTTCATGAGTTTGGAAAGTTCAGAATTAATCTGCAGCATATTTCCAAAACTGCTCTGGCTCTGGCTCCCAGACCTCCTTTCTCAGAGCTGACTTTTGTTTTAAACATAAGGCAAGCTGTGTTTTGGCAAGTGACAGAAAGATAAACGAAGGCATCATGTCAATGAGGTAAACTAATAAACATCACTGTATTTATATGAAGGGGTGAACACTGAGGGGAAGATGCCCTTTTAACTGAGAAACGGGGGGTCCTGAAACCAAAACATTCCCAAAGTTCCCCTCCCTGAAGTCTTTGGGACAGCTGCAGAGTCCTCTATTAATATAACTCATAAAGAATGGAAACTGAAAACACAGAGATCCTGTTTATGGTCAGGCAATGGTAAAACTTCTGAGGGGAACACACAGAGTTCAATAAACAGAGATGCCTGCAGCTTCTTTTCCTTTACAGAGTGGTAAGAGATTTCCAGTGAGGTTAAAAATTCAAGGATGCAGTTAAGAGTTGAAGTTGACCCCCCCTCCAGATTTACACAAGAATAATAAATGGAGAAGAGAAGGTCATCAAGCCTCACATAGGAAGGGATATCCTCAGCGTATCGGTGAAGCAGGATCTCTGCTATCTCAGGAGGAACAGCTGGATTATCACAACAATAGGACTGGGGCGGGCAGGAATGATGGATACTGTACAGCCTTTACACTCTGGAGATAAGTAGACTCAGCTCAGTAATAACTCTGGACTGATTCCTCCATGAGAAGTAAACTCAGGGGCTGAAATATGAGCCAGCGGAAACCAAGACTCAGTACGACTAGTTTTAGGACACAAGGTCAGTTCTGGTTGGTCTTAACTTCAGCCTCTTTCACAACTCATCAGTCAAAGCAGTGCAGACTTCCAGACTAAATATAGATTCCTCCACTTCTGCTCAGCCCTCAGAGATTGGCCTTTCTCAGAATAAGGACCCTCCCAAAGTTATGGATTGTAAACAGAAACAAAAAAAAAGCGGACTTCTACTTACAGTATAGTAAAGCAGCAAATCCTCACATTTGGCATCTTAAAGATGACAATTAGACAACCGTCAATAATTCAAAATAGTTTCTCCTTAATTTCAATCAAATCAATCCAGTGTTTTCAGTTACAAAAAAAGTGATTTACTCCTATTCAAATATACAGTGAAAGACCAGTAAATCTCATAAGTCTTTCAGATTGGCACAGTACAGATGTTATAAAAACATCTGGGGGTTGATCTGAATGGGTTAACACTTATCGTCAGACGTAGTTCTGCGACCCGCGTCATATGCCCATCTCCTATAGGAGAAGGGTTATCACAGTTTTATTGAAATAAACGCTATATTTGACTTCCAACACATATTAAGTTTGCCAAGATAATAAATTGAAGGAATTCTTTTTTATAGACTGATGTTGGGAGAAAAACCTCACTGCTGCTCTCGGCAAAGCTCCATCTGGGTATGAATACACTGAAAGCATTTATAACCAGATTTATGGCAACTAAGAGTTTCCATCCGTGGTTCCTTGTTCTTTTTCAGCCTCAACTGGGTTTCATTATATTTTCTCTAGTGTCTTTCCTAGCAGATAACTTATATATTGTTTTCTATGACAAAGCTGACAACTTTGCCGTTCAGAGGCTTGGCTTCTGCTTCACCATGCAGACTTTACCAATAAATCTGTGCCAACATCTGTGAAGGTGGGAGAATCTATCTGTGCACTGCTGCCATCTGGGGAGCTGAGAGACTTGGCAAGTTCAAAGTACAACTCTGTGGAAACTGTGGGGAAAATAAAGTGTTTTTTACTGACCATAAGATACATTGACATGTGAGCCATCACCTCCCCTGGATCTTCACAGATGTGTCTATCACTGTGAGTCTACAGGGAAGCCTTTGAATCACTGAAGAAGTCATAAAGTTGCATCTGTGAGTCATATTTTTTGTTTGTTCCGAAAAAAATCCCTTCCGATTCCTATGGGATCAAATCCACATAAGGCTCAGCAGAGCAGGCTCGAGGTTATAGCATTTGACACACACATTCTCCGATCTCTATCTACCAGCTGAAGTGCTATTGGTCAAAAGTGCTGAATGTTATCACTAAAGGGCGTGGCAGCCTGTGTGTGTGTGTGTGGCAGTGAGTGTGTGTGTGTGTGTGTGTGAGTGTGTGTGTGTGTGTGTGTGTGTGTGTGTGTGTGTGGTGTGTTGCTGTGTGTGTGTGTGAGTGTGTGTGTGTGTGTGTGTGATGTGTGTGTGTGTGTGTGTGTGTGTGTTTGTGTGTGGTGTGTGTGTGTGTGTGTGTGTTGTGTGTGTGTGTGTGTGTGTGTGTTACTTCACCTTACGTAGAACAGCAATGAAGCTCTGGTTATCAAAGAGGACCCACAGGCCAAAGCCCATGATCAATGCTCCAAAGATCTGTGGAGGGGGAAACAAAAGAGTCAGGCACCAAAAGTAATCTGAAAGTAAAACACAGAATCTGTTGCTAGGGGGTGTTAAACAGAGGCCCATACTTATGTACCTCAGTCTGTCCACATCTGGAGGAATAATCAGATCCTAACTCTTCACTTTGCCTCAATGTCTGCTTATCTGTTTTTCTCTATCAACATGCAGAGAGGATGTTGAGAGGATCAAGAAACCCGCTAGTTTTCTCATAATTACCAACCAGCCAGCCACAGATCTACAAATCACCCATATCCTTCTCAGAAAAGCAAACTGAACAGTGTTAAGTAAGGATAAAGGGGTCCAAGATGATAGGCAAAGAGTATACATATCAGCTCTGGACGTGAGAGTTTTGTCCCTGGCGTCGGAAAAGCCTCGGGAAATGTCACATTATGTAGCCATATAAAGAGGAAATGAAGTTCTATGTAATTAAGAAGGCCCTTGTTTAGAGGTGGCGGGGCTCTGTACTGGGGGCCTAAATGCATAGATGAGAGGTTCTGTTAATTCAGCCACTCCCGCTCCTCCCCAACACAACAACAGTCATTAGAGCACTGGTTAGGAGCTGTTCATTTGAGGGACTGTTGAGCTCCCGGCAGTCATCATTAGCCCACCACTTCCTGGCTTCACCTAGTCTGATCTGTCCACATGGACAAACACTGACACAACCACACACGCTTCCTATTAGACACCGGTTGAGTGTTCCCATCAAAAGGTCTGCGTCAGGTTTACAGCCGCAGTCTCATTGGAAAGGTCTGGACATCCTCGCAGTTTTAAGAGTCTGGGGTTTTATCTAGCCCTGGACTTCAGTGTGAGAGAGGAGGGAACAAACAGAAACCATCTGCTGTTGTTTAGACCTGGCTGTGCTAAAGGAACTCTATAAAGTCTTTCCCTCAAGGCATAGTTTCAGCAACATTTCCCTATGTATCTCTCTCTATTGTTATTTGAACAAGGAGGCTTATTCAAATAAAAAACTCATTCTGAAAGGCATGAAACTGCTCTGAGTGCGTCATGAGTGGTTGATTCAGCTGAAGGAGCATAGCACACCTATCCTTCTATCTTAGGTAAATAAAGCAGATTAAAGTGGAAGTCGTGCAACATGTTTCTGAGCATGTACGCTATGCTTTGCAGTTATTTGCAGCACAGCCACAGAACACTGATAAAGACATGTCATGACTTACAAAGAAGAGGAGGTTGAAGAGGAATAGAAAAGTACTTGGGTGACTGTGATGCATCCTTTCCCCATGGTGGCGCTTCTTCTGGAAGACAGAAATAGATGGAAAGTATGCGTTAATTTAAACATCAGAGGGTTACATCGCTGTGTAGTGTGGGCTGTGGGGGAAAAGAGAAGCCAGACACAACAAGAAGTTATTAACAATAACAAAACAAAGCTAGCTAGCCTTGAGAAAGTGTCTAAAGCTACAACCACAAGGACAGACAGGAAATCGGCACATGGGGGTGACTGATTAAACAGCTTTAATCTTCAAAGCCTAATTCAATTTTCAACCGCCCCCTGTTGACATTAGCCAGTATTAAACAACCCCACCTGCTCTAGTATTAAAGACAATTAGCCCCATTGTCTGTAAACATTGAGTTGTAAGAGTATAGTATGCTTTTGAGGCCAATTTGTTAACGAATATAGTTATGACAAACAAGAGGAACCACCTGGATGAGGACAGATTTGAGGAGAAACCACCACAAAGTGGAGAGAGGTGAAGTCATGATGACTGTGTGTGTAGAAACCCAGACAGCATGGGTTAGACAGTCTATTGTCATCACAGGCTGAAGGGAACCAGGCCCATCTACAGCTTTGTTTACCAGCAGTCAAAAGCCCTGGTTACAACACATCGTTTTGCAATCACTTTCATTCACTATTTTGAGCCAAATCAGTAGCCTATACAACCATATCCAGTCATATTTAAAAAAGGTTCTGACTGATGTCATACAACCACATGACAAACAACATTTTAATGTTGTGAATCAGACCCTTAAGCAAGTTCAGAACTGTCTAGCTATCTGACGTTTTAGGTTTGGGCATGTTACACTGAGGTCTGCAGTGTTGTCCAATCAGTTTTCCTCTCATTCGTCTATGTACATGTTTGTTCAGATGTATACGCGATTGCACCAAGCCAACACATAGACTGCATTCAGTCACTTTTCTGTGAGTAACATTTTCCTTAACACCTGTAGGTCAGCAACACAAAAACAGCACAGTAGGGACATGCTATGAAACGCTTCTCTCTCCACAAGTAAATAAAAATATTTACCAAAACCAGAAGCTTCTCCTTCACTGGGAGCACTGAAAGTATAACCAGCCATTGTGGTTATTTGAGCAGTCTGAAAATAACCTATAGAGACAACTCCCAAGATGACAAGCTGTTCTCTTCTCCATCAAAACCGTAGGTTCTTCCCAATGCCCGGGCCTATAATACTGTGTATTTAGTTCTATTTTGAACAATGTATACTACTTTTGGAAGCAAAAACCTGATGTTTATTGTGTTTTATTTCGGAATATAGGGTAAAAGGATACTGCTACTCAGCACTGTTTTCCTTTACTAAAGACAAAAAAGTCACTCCAAATGATGTAAGTGTAGAAAGAGGCTGGAGAAAGGGATTTTGACATCATGAAACATTGCCATTTTTACTTCACTTATATGTTGTATTACCAATTAAATTATTTGAGTTACTTTGTGTAGCGTATTATCTTTGGTGGAATTGTAATCACATGACTGCTTTACTTGTTGTCCTTCAGTGGTTAGTGTTTTTAACTGTTGAAACATGCAAGTGGAAAGGGAAGCAATGATATCCCTGTCACCATTTTCTTTTCAACACATTCATCACAACACGTTATAAAATACACACCTAGAAATGTTACCATAGTGTTTACTTCTGTGTTCATTTTACCTCAGCCTGCTGATTAAAACCAGTTTTTGTATCACATTTCTACAATTTCCTAACAAAATTACTCATCTAATCTAATCTTCTTAAATAGAGTCATGGGTCAGTACCAGTAGGATGGATAAAACACTTTGAGATGTTGTTTATCATCAAAAGAGCAGTTTTTTTTAATGCACCATGCTTGGCTGGAAAACACAATCTGTACAGCAGGACTGTCAAAAGACGAGGTTAATGGTATTATTACTATTACCACGAATACTAGGCTTTTTAATGTATTCGATAACCTAAATACCAACACAATTCATGTTTACAAAACTAAACAGGGCTCAACGCAAAGCAGATACCCCTGCAAAGTAGATAATCCGTAAAGGAGATTGCTGGTCTTTGTGTCTAGATGGTGTGCAGCAATGGGGGATAAAAGGCTTAGTTATTGTATGACAACAAATGTTTGTTGACTGAGCTCCCACCATCTGAACACAAATTCAAATTCAATAGGATAAAAGGAAAGCATATTTTTTTCTGAAGCAGCCAACTGAACATATTGAGGTTTGCTCCAAAGCCAAACAAAACCACAAACCTATACTTTTACTTCTATGCATGCTTACACATTAAGCAGGTACTGTAGCTGCGGTGCCATTTTATACATTTATTTTTTGCTGAACACTACCTAGACAAACCCAATCACACTGGACTCCCTCAAAGAGAATGACAAATCTGTTCCAGGGTAAAAAATAAAGCCCTGGAAAGTGCAATGGAAATTCAAAGCAGAGCCAAACGGCTGTTCCAAGAAACAGTAACCTTGTATAACAAGCAAGTATTCCTAACGCTCAATTAAAAAGACAATGTGAGAGGAGAAGAAGATGAGTAAGCTGAGGCTTAGAAGTGCAAAAAACCACATGCAGAAAATAATTGATTCTTTAAGAAAAGCTGCAAATGAGTCACCAGAACATACAAACTCTGTCACCCCATGCAGTAATCTTTTCTCCCCTTTGTAGCCCCCATCGTTCTCCATGGGGGGTGCACTACATTAATAGGCCGTACACAGCATGGTGTAGTGATATGATTATGAAGGCAGCATTAGTGGCAGATGGCCACAACAGTGTCTGTAATGGACCCAGCATGGATCAACTACAGACCTGTTGTACACACAAAGCAAGGCATGTGCCAACCTTTCGTCTACCACCTCCTCCCTTTATATTCATATATGACCCATTTAAAAATCTGTGAGGCATCACCGCTACACACACTCGTAGATACTAAATCCTTAATACCATGCCAGAATCCCGTTTTAACATCTGCAACAATGTTGTAAGTGTTCAGACAGGATGTAGCTCATTATCTCAGTGTGTTTCCCGAGACTCAACATTTGCATTTATGTTTGAGAATAGGAAACAGCTTTGGCACATATAGTACATTTCTGGAAGTTGTCTACCTTCAGTTAAGTGTTTGTATCTCAGCTTGCAAAAATGTGGACAGAGGCTACAAGTAGTGATCATTTTATTATCAAAGTATTTGTAGGTCTGTAAAGGTTTTCATTCGAGCTTTTTACGATAATATTACCGATAATCTTTTGAATCACAAAAGGCCGATAATAAACCGGGGTGGCCATATGACTATAAAATGGCTTTAGTGATTGTCTTCAGTCCACTATTAACAACAGATACATTTTTAAGTTGTAAAAAAGCAGTATGTTGTCACAAATAGCTTGATGCAAATTATATTATTACCTCTTGAAGTCCAATTTGTGCTACAAATCAACAATGAGTCTTCTTGAGGCTGTGGTGTTCAGCACATCATCAAACAACTCATCTCCTATCTGTGGCTTTCAAAGATACATGATGTGGGTAGATGATCTGTTAAAGGACTTACTAATCCCGCAGTATATTATAGTTTGTAAAACGTGTCACTCAGCGGCCTAAGACATGGCTAACTAATGGGAAAGGTGGCCACAACCCAAAAGCTAACAAATGACCATTTCAAATATTGTCAGTTCATAATAGATTGATCTCAATCTACTTATAATGTCTCTAGTAAAAGTAATAATGAAACTAAGACTAGTGGGTTGAACAATAATTTCCACTCAGTATGCCTGCTCAGCTATTGATTTATGCTTGTAAACCACAATATTGCTAAAAAGCTTGCCACTAATGCAAGACGGCTGGAAAGAGCACTGTTGCAACTGGAAATGTCCTCACAAGAAGTATGAGGCATCCTTCTTTTCTTCTGTATTGCCAAAGTAAAGTAATGTCTCAGAAAAGCTCACAAATGAAGAAGCATTCTTAAGACATACATATCATAACAAATTAACATTAAGTTTATATAATTATAGATCCATCCTGAAACCCTTGTTGTAAAGTAATGGGTTGAGAACAAACTCCAAGAGGGATTTTGATTAGGAATGTAACAACAGAGCTACATAAACAAAGCGTCCAAAATAGGGGGTTTGTTCATTTTTTTATACTTTGTGTATTTTATGCTACTGTATACTCCTACACCACTACATTTCAGAGGCAATATTGTACTTTGTTACTCTACTACATGTATTTACCTCTCATAGTTACTAGCTACTTATAGGTTACTGTAAGTAGCTTCCTTCACTACCTATCAATCATTGTATTGACAATTCTCTAAAATTGGCTCCCAGGAATGACAAACCAGAAGATTAAAATGTTTTGTACAAGTGATAAAAACAGGATACAATAATAGTCTTTAAATATACTTTGAAAGAGCTTTTCTGCATCATTTTACTTTTGATACTTTAATTAAATTTGTCTCACAATAATACTGTATTTATGTTACTGTAAGGGGCCATTGTGCAGAATGAGTACTTTATGTAATTCATTTTAAGCTTAATGCGTTGTACTTTTACTTTTTTTAATGACTATGTTTCCCTTGTAATGGAGTATTTTAAGACCATAGTACAGGATCTGTTACTTTATCCACCTCTAGACTAAAATAGTACTTTTCCACGATCTCTCATTAAGTGAAGCTAATCCTGACCTATATGTTTCCTCATATTCATTTTTGGACAACTTGACACCAGCTTTAACATCATCAGTTTACTTATGTTATGAGGTTCTAGACACTTCACATACATGAGCCGTAAACCGACCGACCCGTTAACAGATGGCAAACAAAGTTGTTAACTGCATACACACTCAGTTGAGACGTGACCACGGCAGGTTGCTACTGTACAGCGGAACTTGTTATACAACATATACAAAGTTATACGAGGTGTAGCGCCATTTCATTAAGTCATATCCAGAGACTTCAACAATTGAAACCCATATCAGTCCGGGTTAACTCTACTTTCGCTTCACGTTTACGTCAACTATGAAACTAACGTGC